GAAAAAATCAATAGTAGCATTACTATTTACGTTTTCCTTTCTATCGTGTGTGATTGCTATGAAGAGTTACTTGGAAATAGTTGCAAATTCGCGAACAGACCTAATTCCCTGGGGAGAAAGGGATATTTCCACAGAAAACCCTCATGTTTTACTTACTTTTAACAATGGAAAGTAAAAACCTGAGTCAATATTTCATCTATAATGAAGCATAATGTGATATTTACAACGGGGCGTATACTTAATATTACTCTTTCGATGGGTGGGAAATAAAACGCTGCATACTTATTTGGGCATCTTTTATGCACTACAACAATTTGCCGTTTTATTTAAATCTAAAGTAAGAAAATGGCAGTAGCACACCACCCCCTCCCCCCCTACGAAGGCCAGAAGAAAAGAAAAAGACTGAAAACCGTAAACATTCTTGCACTCTTGCAGCGGCAGAGCCGTAAAAGTTTTCGGTAAACGCATTTCAAACACTCGCCGAGATAGTTATTACAATTGTACTCAAGGCAGCAACAACACAACACAGCATGCGTGACGATGCCAGGGGGGGTGGGTGTGGGGATGCTGGCAGCAGCTGTGGGGTAAACTTGTAGCATTTTTCTCAAATGAAATGCAAAACGAGCAGAGCCATCTTCCACTTCTCCGACAGCAGCAGAAGAAGCAGCACAAAGTAATATTTACAAAAGAATATTCGTTTGCATTTATTTTTCCTTCGACATCCCTGCTTTGTAGTCTAGTGTATGGCAGATAGAAGCCATTTTTGAAGTGCAGTTAGCTTTGATCGGTGTGCGAGTGTGGGTGTACAGAGAGAAAAAGAATGAATATATTTAGAATATTTCTATTTCTTTGTTAGGTTAGGTTAGGTTAATATTTAATTACAAATAGAGTACATTTTTATAATTTCTGTTCTTTGTTTTTACTTACGGGATATACATTTTATGTTAATATTTAGCTTTATTAATATTATTTACATATAGCTTTTTTTTGTATTTAAAATTTAGTTTTTTTTTTTGGGAGCTTTAGAAGAATATTATTTAGATAAATATGGATTTGGTTCTCGGTATCATTCTTCTTTGTGCATGAGGGATTTGGGAGTAAAATACCAGAGGCGGAGATGGGGGCTTGGTGATTTGGATGGCGGATGTAGCCGAGCTTGGCGGAAGCCTGGCTGCAACTGTCGTTGTCGCTGTCACTGTCACCGCTCACTCCTATCTCCAATTCCATTCCGCCGCCGCCTTAATCTGCGGCCCCGACCCGCTCTGGCTGAACTCAACATCCGCTGGACAATTGATGAACGCCTTTGTTGTTGTATGCAGAGTGGATTCCAGTTGAACTTCAGTGCCTGTCCCCGTCCGCGCGCAAGTTTCGAGCAAGTTCAGTTACCATTTGCCGTGTGGAAAACTTTGTGCAGTTGACATCCTCGGGAAGGGATGGGGGATGGACTCGGAGGATAGGATTTTATCCAAAAGGTCCTCCGGATCGTCGCCTGATGTTTTTCGTTTCGTTTCGCGCCAGCAGTAAAAGTGCCGAGTTCAAAGTTTTGTTTACAAAGTTTTCAAATTTTTGTGGCACTGAGTTGAACTTCCGCCGAGCAGCGCAGCCATTCCCCCCTGCCATTTTCCCATTTCCGGCTGCTGTTGATGATGTTGCTGCTGGCCCTGTTCCCGGTTTTTCAGCGGACCATCCACCCGTCCGGGCAGCAGATGGTCTTCGATTCGCGACCATCCATCATTAGCCGCAATTATGTGGCGGTCTATTAAATTACCATCAATTGGGAAAATGTAACTAAATGATGCAGAAAATGCACGACCCATAGAAATGGCAGACTGACGGCGGTGAGGTTGTAGCACTCACTTGTGCACTCGAGGGCCGTTGCTCAGACACATCCTGCGGCTCCTTCAAGTTGTCATTGCGCGTAAAATTATGTCAATGCTTGTCAACTTTTCCGCGGAGCCAAGTTGCTCGACAAGTGCACCCTGTAGTGTCTTTGAGAGTGCATTGAGTGAGCGACTGAAAGTTTTCTTTAACCCGACCCCCGACCGCTGCGGCGGTTCCCCGTTCTTGTCCCTTGCCTGCTTGCGTGCATGCCAGTGTGTGTGGATGCGTTATTCACTATGCATAAAGTGCATTTACAGTGCTTCTCCGACAGAAGGAAGCTGCCAAGATGGAAAAAGACCGCTTACAGCGAGGGCGTGGGGGGAGGAACTTTTTAATTTAATGTACAAATTATACCAGCCGAGTCAGCCTCAAACAGAAGTCACCGGAAGTCCTTAAAGGCGACAACTTCGTTCGGGCAAACTTTAAGTAAACTTGGCGCTTGCCTTTTTCTACAAATTAGCCTGGTTAATTAGCAATTTTTGTGTGTGTACCTCTGTGTGGGTGGGGCCACGCTTAACTCAAGCAAAATTTAATAAGTTTCGCTCACCAATTAGCCCTTCCCCGCACCGTATTCCCCCGTATACCTACCTACGCCTGCATCCATGCATGAAATTCCCAACGAGTTCTCCCGAAAAGCACGCGCTGATATCCGTAGAGCAAGTGGAACGTTTTGCCCAATTATTGCCTTGAAGCTCTCGGGACTAGTCACTAAGCCACTAAGCAACCACTGTGTAAATACTAACGTAGTGCAACTAAAGCCTTCGACTGCCTGATTTTACTTTTACACCCCGGCACTTCCTCGAAGTCGTGATTAGTTATATGTACATATATTCGAACTGAACCGCTCGCGGTTATAGCGAGCAGTAAACACAGTACCTCCCAATCCCACCCCCGAAATATAACACCAACACACCGCCCACACTCACAAACAACGACACCTACGTATACTCTTCTTAAGCAAATATTTATATACTTATATCATACACAACTTATATGATAAGTGTCTACTCTTTTCCTTTTCGTCTCTTTTTACGCTCTGACATTTCATTTTCCGATAACAACCAATGCGCATTTAACCGCCACACGCCCACCACAATTGTAATGTGAACTCCACACCGAAACCCACACCAACAACACCATACAATACGCACCACCACAACAATAACAACAACAACAACAACCCCGAAAACACCACAAAACCAGAGCGTGCCGGTCCTTCGCACATTCGGCGGTCATCACATCGCGTAGCGCGAGCGGGAGCGGGAACTGGGCGTGGCCAGCACCGCAGCAACAGTAGCGGCGACCACTTGCAGCTCGCCGTCGACCACAATTGCCACGCCCACCGGTACGCCGCCGCTGCTGCCGCCACTGCCATTGCCCAACGCGTTTGTGGCCATCAAGACCAAGTCGGACAGCAACAGCAATAGCAACAGCAACAACAGTCTGGCCATGCACAGCGGCAACAACAGCTTCAAGTCGAGCGGCCACAGAAAGTCGCCACAGCCGCAGCCGCCCCCGCTGCCCCTCAAGAACGGTGCCAAGTTGCAACAGCAGCAGGGAGAGTCGCACTACCAACACCTGACCTATAACACACGCAACACCTTGGACCGCAAGCAGGCCAACGGCTCTGGCTCTGGCGGCGACTATTGCACCCAGATCAATCCCCACTACCTTCAGACCTTCGACAGTCTGGACCACTACAGTGTGGCCACTATGCAGCAGCAACAGCAGCACCAGCAGCAACCGCTGCGCAGCCAGTCCAAATCACAGATCTACAGCTACGGCAGCAGCGGCACAGCCAGCGACAACAGCAGCCAGCAGATCCCGCAGCAGCAGCAGCAGCAGCACTATCACAGCAGCAGCAACATTGCCCACATCGAGCACCACTATCATCCGCAGCACGGCGGCGATCGCTATAGCCACCCGCACGTGCAGCAGCAGCAGCAGCACAATCACCAGCAGCAGCATCACAGCCTGAAACACACCAAGCACGGCAAGGGGCACAAGAACGGCAAGCACGGCTCAAAGGGCAGCAGCAGTAAGTCGCAGGACGACTTCAAGGCCATGCACAAACAGCAGCAGAAGTGCAGCAGCAGCAGCAAGCAGACAAAACGCAACGGCTGTGGCAACCAGGTGCTGCCACTGCCACCGCATCAGCAGCAACAGCAGCACTACTCCAGCTCCAGTGATAGCCTACCATTCGATAATAACTATTATTAGACGCACTTGCACTCCAAAGCACACTAATCGCTAGCCAAGGGTGGTGAAGGATGGGGCTGTCCCAAAAAATGGTTTAAATAATTTGGTTTACTTTTCAAAAAACTTTATTTGTGCAAGGCATGTGGCTTATTTTGGACATGTCATTGAAATATTTCACACAGATCTTTAAACAAGTCAAAGAGTGAAATTTTTTGGGACACCCCCCTTTTAAATGCCAGTACACACAGATACACACCCAGCCCAACCCACACAGTTGTGTTCGCCAAATGGTTGAAAGTTTTCATTTGATTGAGAGACTCTCGAAGCTGAATTCAGTGTTGCAGGATGCATTCCCAATTGAAATGCAAATTTGATTTGTGGCTGCCGGAAGACAATTCCTGGCATTTTTTACAGCTGCAATGTAAGGCGATTTAAGTGTTTCGACTACTACAATCTGTTGTGTTGTTGGCTGGAATGATAGCCCTCTAAATGAATTGATTATTTACCTAGTCTATAAACTAATTTAGTTCGTAGGAAATGTGGAATGTGTGGCAGTGGAGAGCCATTGAACATGGCCAACAGTTTATTGTTTATTGTGTAAATAGGAATGATAAGCGTGTAGAACTAGTTAATATCTATTGTAGACCTAAGCCAGGCCCACCAGCCCCTGTCCAAAGACCTTTGACCCCGGCCCCGGCCCTTGACCCCCGATCTGAGACCCTTTCCCCACGCCCCCAAAAAGCTCACCAGCCACCAACTTCAGCACTCGAAAGCAGACCGCGTTCTTGCCCCAAACTCGGCTAATCTGATTTTGTTTATTTATTTCATTAACGAATTGCTTGAAATATCTGCCAACAACTCAAACTACACAACAACAACATCGACACACCACAAAACAACACCACCGCTTACACCTCCAGTCGAGTTCCCAGGCCCGAAGCAGTGGCCACGACGAGCTGGGCAACCTGCTCTGGCAGCAGGAGGCGTCCGAGTTCCTCGAGCAGTATCCCCCAGATTCCCAGCTGAACCGCTGCCCCGTGCCGCCCCTACGCCACTGCCACGCCCCCGGGCATGGCCATGCCCCCAACACGCTGACCAAGCGGAACGCGGATCTGTTCAGCGGCGACCTGGGCATTCCCGAGATCAGCACGCACGTGGGCAGCGTGGTGCACACCTTCGAGACGTTGGCCCTCCAGCGGCGCCTGGCGGAGGAGGAACGCAGCCCGGACCGGGAGCTGAGTAAGTATGAGACCGGCGGCGGCACCACCACTCCCACCAACACCAACAACACGCAGAGCAAGTACAGCCAGCTGAAGCGCCGCTCGCAGGAGATGCGCCAGCGGCTGGGGCAGCAAGTGCACCGCCAGCGGATGCAACAGCAACTAGCACGCTCACGAACACAGTCGCAGCCACAGCAGCAATCCTTGCACGAGGGGGTTTTGACCAACAGCTGTAGCACCCAGACTCTGGCCTCCTGTTTCTGGAAACAGCAGCCGCTGCCTCAGCGGTTGGATCGCTCTAGAGAGCAGCTCCAGCAATCCACCTTCGAGGACTACCGCAAGAATCTCTTCGGTACACTCAGGCGGCATGGCAGCGTCCAGGACGAGGAAGCGGAGCCGCAGGATGAGTCCTTCATTGTGAACGCGGCCTTTGATGAGATCTTCGCCCGTTACGACGACGAGAACGAAGAGGAGAAGGCGGCAGAGCGGAGCCACACCCAGACGCAGACCACCACCGACGACATCTTCGAGGACGAGCATATGCTGGTGAGCCTCAGCGAGCTGGACGACGAGGTGTTCGCCAGTCGGGCACAGACAGCCTGCACCACGCCCACCAAAAGTGCGGCAGGACGGACGCCCAAGCACAGCACTCCGCAGCTGAATCTCAACAAGTATCCCGCCCCGTCTCCACCCCGTTCCCGCACCCTTACGAACCTCTTCGAGCGGCTCAAGTCGCAGGACCACAAGCTGCAGAAGTACCCCGGAGAGGCGACGCTCAACGAGGCGGCCGACTTCAACCGGGGATCCACCGTCAGCAAGTCCTTTGTGCAACAGATGAGGAAGCCGTCGCACAAACAGAAGCGGGCGCCCCGGCCACCGCCCAAGCCACAGTCCCGGTCCCAGGTGGCCATCGCCCACGTGACGCCGCTGCGGAAGGCCCTGATCTTCCCCAAGCGATCCAAGTCCTCCAGCGAACTGCTGCTCGACGACCTGAGCGTGCAGACGCGTAAGTATCACCGATGGACGGAGCAGGGATCGGCGCTGTAGACAGGATCCGTGGGCACCCAGTTATGCACCTGTTTCTCACCTGTTGACCAGTTTGACCCACCTAGATATTAAATCGATTCTCACGTACTATGTATATTTCCGTTTACCCAGAGGCGACGCTTTTGTAGACTAAGTGACCCCCAACCCAATCAACCCCGACCCCGTCCTTCGAACCTCCCAAGCAGACCCCAAAACCGATCCCGAATACGATGTAGATGAGAGGGAGGAGAGCGCAGCTATCCCGCCGCCATAACGGAAGATAAAGATACGACCCGAAGCGAACCCAAAGAGAATTGAGCCATACGAGGATAAGCACCGCAGAACTAATCTAATTTCGTAATTACCCGTAATTAAATTAAGCCAAGTACATTACTCGAAATGCATGAAAATCAAATTAAAGACGACTAACCGTATTTACATATATGTGTACGCATACATTACTGTACAAATAGGATCGAAGACGCCACAACTGTGGGTTAGATATGGAAATGAAAATCAAACGGCAGACCGTGCTCTCAACCTAGTGCAAGTTATTAACGAGTACAAGTTTGTCTCTTCAATTATTGTTTACTTTCATCAATGAATATACCAAACAATCCCGATATACATCTAAACATTATACGGATATATATATATATATAAAGCATATAACTGCGTCATTTGTTGTAACTTGTAGGATAATTGCAAAATCAAAGCAAATGTAAACCAATTACAAGAAGAAACATTACTAACTCTTACCTGCATGCAATAAAAGATTTGAAAAAGCAAAAACAACTTAAAATATTTTCATTATAATTGGGTTTGTATATATATTTAAGGTTTGTATCTCAAAGATATCCTCAGGCCTGCAAACAGTTGCCTGCTTATTATTCATTTAGAACAAATCAAGAATTTCGCACAGTCCAGTAGCTGTTAGAAGGACGTAGAAGCAGCTTGAAGAGGCGTATACTCGGACGACCCATCAGGGGACTTTGGTTCAGCTGGGCAAAGTTCCACTTCAGCAGAAAGACAATGCTGGAAAATACAAATTCAATTAAGGATTTCAACTGAAATAAATACAAAATCAACTCACAAGCGCTCCGGTCCGCAAAGAGTGTTGGTAGGACAGCTTTCGTTAGACTCCCAGGATTTCCCTGCTGGCAACCGTGCGATCTCCTGCTCCCACTGCGCCCAGCTATACCGGGCGGTGTCTTGTTCTGCGGCCCAAGTCATGTGTGCCGAGGGGCTCTGCAAAATAAACCGCTGCGCCTGGTAGGTGCGCGTCGTCCGGTCCACGAACTCCATCACGAAAAGCAGCTCATGGTCACGCGAGTGAGTTAGTGCGTAGAGCTTATCCGTGCCCAGGAAGTACTCCCCCGCGGCGATGCTGTTGTAACCGTTGCGAAACTCTTGGGCCGAGCGACGGGTCCCATTGAATCGCTGGAGCACCAGAGTCCAGCCTCCCTCGTCCAGAGCCTGCTCGCAGAAAACATCGAACGGCTTGCTGGCCTCCTCCAGTTGGATGCGGGTGTATCCGTACTTGTCGGTCAGGGCACAGTTGCGCAGGAAGGCATTGGAGGCGACGGACAGCTGCTCAGTAGCATTGGCCAGACGACTTAGTATCTCATTCTGTTGCTCAATCTTTTCTTTCACACCACGCAGTGCGCTAGACACCGCTGCTGAGTGGGCGCTGTACAAGAAATTTATTTTAAATTGTTTTGTTATTATAAACATAATAATAAGTAAATTATCTACCTGCCGGGTAGCTTGACGTGCACTCCGCGCGGACTCCGGTGTGAGGCAAGGCTGCCTTGGGCAAAGAGGACCACTAGGATTACACCAAAAAACACTCTACTCAAGAACATATTTTCGCTTGGGAGACTCAAACGTCTCTGAGCCACAGCCATCACCTGGGAATTGATAGAAGCCCGCAGAGCTGCAGATAAGGCTACTGATAGCTCCTACCTTGACCTCGCTGAGCAAGTGCACTGGCCAAAATCTAATTCTGTGGCTTATCACTGGCCGACTTCGTGACGCATCTCGCGATTCCGGAGCTGCCCCGCCCTGCTAAAGGTTCTCTCGCACACTTGGCAGCGGTGCAGACGATCTTCGGTGTGAATCCGTTCGTTGCTTCGCAGGACGCCCAGTTGGGCAAACCTCCGGTCCCAATGGCCACAGGCGAAGGGCCGCCCGCCAGTGTGCGTCCGACTGTGTAACTGCATCAGAAAGACTCGAGAGAAGCTGCGCTGGCAAACAGTGCAGGTGAGAGGTCGGTCACTCGCATGCCAGGCGGCTATACTTCGCTTGTTGCTTGCCTCCAGGTAGCCACGTTTGCAGTGAGGGCACATTTGCTGGATGAGCCGCAGGTGCAGCCTGCGGTGGGTAACCAGGGCTCCATTGGTCCTGAATGCCTTCGAGCAGTCCTCGCAGGTAAAGGGCCGCTCGCCGCTGTGCAGGCAAAGATGAGAGGCCAGACTGGAGGCGAATTGCAGGCACTTGCCTCACTGTGGGCATCTATGCTGTCCATTCTGAACAAGATCCGAGCAGACGTAACTCTGGGAGCTGGAGAGATCTGTATAGAATCTACTACACTTCTCACAATCGTATATTTCCAAGGGCGAGTGGACCCTTTCAATGTGCCTTCGCAGAGCTACGAATTGCTGGAAAGCAGCGAAGGCAAAAAACTCTTCTAAATTATTATTTCCATTATTTCCGCCGACCGGATATCCGCTCGAAGCTTCATCTTAGTCTGCGAGCACTTCCGGCGGAACTTGGCCGCCATAAGCCGGTCGTTGGTGCATTCCTGGCAAACTTTGGACGTGAGTCGTTGACGTCCACCTGGAAATTAAGAAACTCTAAATAAAATGCCAATCACACGTACCGAACAACTTACCTTAATATCGACATAACCTTCCAGCAAGGAACACAAGTCCATTTGCAGCTCCTATACGATGTCAAATATGCCAACCAAGAGCTCGTCCTGCGGCACAGAAACTTCCCCAAAGGCAGTCATGTTAATTGTTTTAGTAATTCCTTAAATTAACAATGATATTGTTTGTTTTAAGCTAAATAGTGGTGGCAAAAATATTGGTTTATACTCGATTACTTTCTGAAAATACCCGATTGCTTACTGCGCTATATCCTCCCCACTAGAGGCAAAGAATTAAAAAGGACACCACCCCTGGCACCAACAGCTGTCCTTGCCAGCAGGACACAACAGGACTTCAGCCCTGCACTTATCGATATCTTATAAATATCGATTCATCGATACTATCGCTTATTTTATAAGGGGTATTCTTTTTAGACGTTAAAATTTAAATATTTTCAGCGTAAAATATTATTAGTTTAATGAAACTGCATACTGAATTTACAAATTTAAAAAAATTGCCTTTTTTAATTTCAAAAATATGTATTTAAAGAAAAATGGGCCTTATTTTATAATCCTGCAACAATCCTTTTGAGGAATTTTGCTTATAAGTAAGTTTAACCTTAATTTTAAGTAATTAAGACCCATAATTTTTATTGTTTTTAGCGGAATCCGAGGTAGAGATAAGTATAGTGGCAGGCTTAGCAGGATATGGAGTAAGATGCAGCTTCTCAGGCGACAATGCTCTGGGCAATGAGCTGCGGATTCGAAGTTTGATGCGGATGGGGAGCTGGGCCAAAGAACAGTGCTGACCAGCAGCGGTTCAGGAAGCAACGCATGTCGATCAGGCAGCAGAGCACATTGCTTGGCAACGACATGGCCTGCAGGGTCAGCCAGAGCAGGCTCCCTCCGATGAGCCCGGTGGTCAAAGTCAGGGTCCAGTACTCGCAGGCCAGAAAGGTTGGCTCCTCCACGGCCAAGGCTTGGAGGACACCAGTGATGGCACACTGGCAGAGTGACTCCACGCGGTGCCACAACTGCGTCAAGGTAACATCCAAGACCAGACAACAGATGCCCGTCTCCAGGAGCAGGTCACTCCAGGAACTGGAGCTGGGGCTGGTCTGGTGGGGTCTGCCTCCGCCCCTGAAACGCTGGCCGATGGGATTGGGAGCCGGAGCCCCAGTGGGAAAGATCTTGATCGCTTGGAGCAGGGCTACCACGCAGGCAGAGAAGAACCAGGCGCCCAAAAGCGATGCTGAGGCGGATGCTTCACGGTAGTAGTGATAGTACGAGATGCCCAGCACCGAGTGAATCAGCACCGCCATGCCCAAGGCAAAGAGTCGCGCCATCTTCAAACTCTGAGATCCTCTCCAGCTACAGTTTCCCCACGAGATGTTAAAACCTTCTGAAATATAAAAACTCCGAGACTGAAATGAACTTTAAGGGGTGACTTTTGGGGTTCCAGGCAAAGGTTCCTGATCAGTTTTTGCGGTTGTATTTTCAGATAACAGAAAGGAAGTAGGAAAAGGAAAGGAAAGGTCCTGCTAAATCTTAACTCTGCAACGAGTCAAATCAATTTTAAAATATAGTGATTTAAGTACAGTGATGTGAGATCGAGTCCTGAAATAGTCAGCAAGGATCTTAATTGTACAAAATACTCTAAGATACTGATGGTTCAAACCAAAGTTTCGAGGAGCTGCTTGCATAGATGGAATTCCAGCGGGGATCAAAAAGGTATCCATCCGGAGGTAATGGACGACGGATGTGGTGGTTCAAGTGGCGTCTTATGCAAATCGGGCAAAGTGCATGGCCATTTTCGCAAAACTGCAAACTTAGCCAATTCCACTGACACGAACACAAGCAGAAATCGGAGCCGCACATTCGACTTGACCCAAATGCCTTGTTACGGCGCACACACAGCCACTCCGCACGGAGAATAGCACCGAGAACGCGCCCGCCCCTTTGCGAAATTGTAATGGCAATTTGTATGCAAAATTCGGAGAATGTAAATTTCATGCAACACATCGAATAAATTCAAGTCGGCAGGAATATAAATGGAACAGAAAGAACTCGGTAATAACAACAAAGTGTCCCATGTCCGGTGGCGAGAAAAATTTGAAATGTGGCTCTCTATTCAATTTAGGAGTGGTGTACCTTTTTCTGGCCAACATTTTACATAATTTGAAGTCTTAGAATAAAATATAAATTAAGTTTAAAAAGAAAATTCAAAATAAAGGAGAATATTTTAATAATATCTTTCATTTTCCAACTTGAACTTGCTCTGAAGAATACGACAGACTCCTAAGCGAATATTTATCCTTTAAACCTTTTTTTGTTAATTCTCAAAACTATAATAAATGAGCAATTCAATAAAATTAATATTTATTTGCTTAAGTTAAACATTTGACAGCAACAAACAGTTTTAATTTAATTACAGAAATTGTTAGAGTTCTTAGAATATATGGGGAATTGTGTGAACATTTCCGTATGTTTTATGCCAATACTGGTGACAACTTGCAATCTAATTTATGTGGATTCAAATGCAACAAAGGTTTCCTTAGTTCGTTCATCTCTGAATCACAAGCATTGAAAATGGAAATGTGCCCTTATCTCCAAATTGAAAATGAATAAATTTATGTCAAGACAGCAATCCACTATCAAGGATTTCATTTTATGGCAAGCAATCTATTACTTGGCAACAGTATTTTTTGGTAGTGAGTCATAGAGACAATTATTAGTAGTTAGCATGGATATGAATTCATGTTCTTCCCAACTGAAGTTGATAATTCATGCTGGAATTTTTACATAACACAACTAGGCCCTGGTAACATATTTCTGGGCTACTTTTTATCACTTAAATACATTCACTTTCACTTGGTTTCGTTTTAGTTTTAATTATGATTTTACGTTGGATATTGAACCACACAAACCTCTCTAGAACCGAATTTGTCCTTAAAACTAGTATAAAACAAATTCGGATCTACAGGGTAGACGTGGAGCAAACTGGCGCTGAACAGCCGCTGCGGGATAATGAAGTCAGGTGAGGCAGGTGAGCAATCACGGCTGCAAAAAAAAAGTGAAAATATTAATAAACATATACAATGTGTGTGTGTGTGTGGGTAATTTAGGCAACGCGGCAATTACATGCGCCTCAGCCAAATTATATTTATCGTGCCACACGTGATGCGACGGCGGCCAGAGGAGCGTTTCCTTGTTTCCTTTGGAAACTATGAAATGACCCATAAATGTGATTACAAAGCCCGCCGTGGTCTGCCAATTAAATTCAGCCATTTCGCGGCTTCCCGTGCCCGTGTCCGTTCCCTTTTTCCTGTCACGGAAACCTTTTCGTCGGAGACTCCTGCTCCGTGGTGTCTTCGCTGTCGCCGCGGGAAAACAACTGAAGCCAAGACCTCACCGACCACTACGAGATTAGGCAGTAGCCCGAAAAAATCGTAGCGGAGCACGAAAAGTAATGCCCTGCCTTATCGGAAGAAGCGGCGATAAGATAAGATACGGCTGCGATGTCTTTGGGAGTGCTTAGGGCGTTTGTATCTAATTGATTGCCCGCGGATTACGGCACTTTCTTCGCGTCGATAAAAGAGGTGCGAGGCCTCGGAACTGGATAGACGGAAAACACATTTAATGAGTGATAGATCTGGTGTTGCGCAGCTAAAGGTCTGCTGTTTGCACTGAAATCAATCAGTGAGTCGCCTCGCTAAGCTCCCGCCCGACCTGTCGCTGGATCGCTGTCGCCAGCCGGCTCCGAAGCAGTGCCCCTCGTTAGGCGCCACCCAAAGCCTCCTTGTCCCTGCTCCACTTTGGTAACGATGGCAGCGATGATTCAGCACTAAGCCCGCTAAGGCTGCTGCTGAGTAATGGCTCAAGGCGTCGCCGATGCCCAATGCCCAATGCCCGATGGTCGGTGCAGTGCAGCTAGTTCTCCGGCGGTGTCCTGTAATGAAATTTCAATTAATTAATGACTTTCTAGCAGTATTCATTAGCACTAAACGGCAGGGCCTGGACAGTGGTAAGCTGGCAAAGTCAAAAACCTTTTCGGGGCTAGGCGGGTTACCCTGGAAATCCCTCGGATTAGGAGCGTAATGGCAACAAATCTTGCGTAAACAAAGGAAAGAGGACAAATCGTTTGACTTTGCACACCCTCTAACGCTCTCTCTCTCCCTGTCTAGCTCACTCTCTCCCCCTCTCGCTCTGCCTCCCTGCGGTGCCTCTTTGTCTGCAGCCCTGTTGTCCTTTTTTTTTGCAGCCTCAACATGGCTGCTCCGGATTCTACCCTCCTGGAGAGTGAGAGTGAGGGAGAGAGAGAGAGCGAGAGCTCTCCAAATGTGTACACACAATCCACAAGGTCCTCGAAGGGGAGGAAGTTGCGAACGAGAGAGAGGCTTAGCCATAGAGAGAGAAAGAGAGCGCGACGCAGAGGGAGAGTTAGGGTGAAGGACCAGGACCAGGCTGGCAAAAGGCAGCTGGGTCAAAATTGCTTTATATTCCTTGCGATCATTCGCAGCCAAAGTGCTCTATATAGCAATAATTTGGCCAAATTAACGCCGACTTGCCAAATCGAAATTCGCGAAAATAGATTACATCACTCCTCACCTATTCCACTCCCAACGGCCCCCGCCGAATCAGAAATGCTAATTGATTTCACGTGGTCAGAAGTTAACACCTAACGTGAAATCGTCAGCAAATAGGCGTACGCAATGGCCTCCCGAAGCTGGCTAATGCTAATTCAGTGCAAATATTTGCCGGCATTAAATATATTAGGGAAATGATAGATCTGTCGCTAATTTGGCTGAAGGATTTTGGTAACGAAACTTACAATCTGAGGGCATTGTGTACAGTCATGCCAAGGTGGTGGTGCTATAAAGATCTATCTTTAGAAATGTGTGTCATAGTAGCTTCCAAGATACAGAAGAAGGTTAATGTTTCCCATATTCCCATGAATTTATTATTGATTCAAATGTTCTTATTTCTTCTGAATATAATGCCCATTAATAGAAAGTTGATTTACCATAACAAGAATCTAAAAATTAACGTTCCTCGTTAAGCATTTATATGTCCTAAAAAGTCTATCATTTCTAAACTGTTTTTAAGACACTCGTCATTTATATGCGATTCTTTAAATAGTAGTCTTTTATGTCTTTTTTTTTTATTGAAAACTTCATTTCGTAAAATCGTTACGTTATGCACACATTCACCTTAATGATGTCTGCCATATTTCTGTGTGTGTGTAGCGTCTTTTTTAATGCAGCAAATTTATTTAATTGTCTGCCCATTGTGTTCAAGGAACATTGATTAATTAATTCACAAAGTATTCCCCCGATATCTCGGTCATTATCTGCATTGATAAGTATGATGTACGAGCAAGTCAGGTATCATTTCGGCAGTCTTTAGAAACTCTTGTGCTATTTTTGTGTTTGCCGATAGCCACAAGGAAATGATTTTCAATCGAGCCGCAGGCTTACGTTGCCCATTAATTATCTTTTACTTAACCTATTAACTCGGTTTAGTAAGCCACCAGAATCACTCAATCAGTTTGTTCTTAGGTGTGTGTCCGATAGCACACCTTCGAAAGCAGTGACCGAGGGAATGTTCCCGGAGAAGGCCCCAAGAGCAATCCCCTCCGGAAGTAGCAAAACAAAAGGCGGGCCAAGAATGCTTAGCTTCCCATCTACCAGTGCACGGTGAGAATAAATGGCGGAACGTATAAGAAAATAATTTCAGATTTACAAAAAAGTCTATAGCTATTTTTAAATATTTAAGATACTTTAAAAAGTCTTTTTTAAAAATGTAAAAATATTCCTTCTTTTCTTGGAGAAGTAATGCTTATCTTAGCTTTCGTGAATAGTGAATATTCACTAGGTTTTCAAACTGGAAATCAACTGATGAATTTAAAATTAAAATTCCCACTGATGGGAAACGTAAGAAGTTAAAGCAGACTTCCTGAAAAAATACTTTTAGGAATTTGATTTGCAACTATTTTGCCGAGTGTGCTTCCCCCTTAGCATCCGCTAACCTATTCCCTGGCCAGACCCATAAACCATCGACCATCCAGCAACAGATACAGCGGCACAAAGGGCCAATGACTGGCTAAAATTTGTGCAATGCTGCCCTTAGCTCATGAAGAGGACTTCGCACATAAATCAAAGTCTCTCCGCTGGGCGAGGAGCGGTGCGGGGGGCCCAGGGATCATTTACCTTGGTCAGTGCCAAATGTCACTGTGCATTGTGCCGGCGCATCACTGTTCAATCTCCGTTTGCCCCACTGTGCCGGCTGCCGGGTGCCGACGGCCCTCAGCCATGTTTTGTTGTTTGCATCAAGCTGAGGTGAGGCGCTGCGTTTGCTGCGGAGCTTCGGAGGCCAAGGTTGTTTCGGCTTACTGAATAATATTATTATTGCTACTTCACCTTCTTGCCATTCGCGGCAAGAATCGGGGGGGCAGGCA